CGGCCGGCTTGCACTCGTTGCGCCAGTACTTTTCTGGCAGCCGGACCAAAAATTATGGCAGCTGAACCATCTGCATATGGCATGAGCATGTGGAAAGCATGCAGAACAAGAAAGCACAACTGCCTGGCGATACAAGGATACTGACACATATCAATCTCCTTGTGTTTAACTGTCGAGCTCGAAAGGCAGTCGCATTCGTGCAAGGGTCTCCTCTAACCTCTCGTCCTTCCGCGCCTACAAGTCAGCACGGCCGGCTTGCACTCGTTGCGCCAGTACTGTTCTGGCAGCCGGACCAAAAATTATGGCAGCTGAACCATCTACATATGGCATGAGCATGCGGAAAGCATGCAGAACAAGAAAGCAACAACTGCCTGATGATACAAGGACACTGACACATCACATTCTCCTAGTGCTTAACTGTCAAGCTCGAAAGGCAGTCGCATTCGTGCAAGGGTCTCCTCTACCCGCTCGTCCACATTGGCGGTCAGACCCAGACCGAATCAACCCTTGCCATGACCACGCAGAACATACGCAGAAGCAATGGTACTTGCGCGAACATGATACTAGACTGTTGCCGATGAGTTGCCTAGTTCTTCGTGCATCAGGTTGGTTCAGTCCTGCACTGCTGGCCGTTCCATTTGTCCATGCCTGCAAGTCGAACAGAATTGAACATTTCAGGAGTGTCGCTGCAATTTCTACACCCCAAACGAACCCTAAAAGACAATGCAGATGACCTCAAAGTATGGTTTGGCAGCTGGCCTGGCAGGCATCTGAAGCCCAAGCAGTGAGTTTGCATCATGTCTCCTTCACCTGCGACACAAACTTGGCGGCCACACTCACAGCTTCGAGATTCAGCTCTACCATAGTCTGGGTTCTTGATAATGGTTTTATTTTAAGCCATATTATTTACTATAGATCCCTATTCTGGTAACTTAAATTAAATCCCTTAACAAGAACCCAGTAGTTCCACGATCAGACACGACATTAATTCCGCTGGCCACAAAACGAAGGGACTACATAACTTGACTGGGCTTGAGTACACTGGAGTAAACTTCTCAGCAAAACAGCAAGGAACAATTTCGGAACGATAGGTCCCGACGATAGCACTGACAGAACTTGTTCCGACAGACTTTCAAACGATTCAGACAGCCAACACAGACTTTGGAATCTCGGACAAGGTGAACCAGCATGAACCGACACACAGTACGAAGTGCGCCAGACAAGAGTTGATCGCTTCCAATCCACCGGTTGGAGAACTATCGCAGAACCCTTGTCCATGAAGCAGGACGCAATACACTATTGGAGATAACTTCGACTCCCTGATATGAACAGGTGAAGCCTGAAGGCCCTGCCAGGAACAACAACGAGCTATCCTGCTGAGATGCAGCAAGCAGAAGCAACGAGAAAAGCACCAGCACCAAAGCCGCGGGGACCACTGCAACGAGCAAAGTGACAAACGATTCCCCCTCAGGACCCAAAACAAAGAAAATTTCCCCCAGGCACCATCAGTCACATCCTGCCGACAAAGGCCTGCAAAAGACACCAGTAAATAGTTTTTTGCACGTGCTCAACGCAGCTACATGGGAGTGCGCGCACATGTGTGTACTATGTACCTTGTCTTCAAACGAGGCTCACACCAGCCATATGGAAAAATGGAGCAGCATGTGAAAGGGGCCACGAGAGCGGAGGATGCACTAGTCTGAGCAAGACGGTGCCAGAGCTGAGTGGGAAGTGGACCAGCAGGAAAAAGCATGGTAGGATCGACAAGCAGAAGAAACCAAGAACCATTGAATTCAACGAGTGCAAAAGAACAACAACTTCCACTGACTCCCGCTTTCGTCCCCTCCTTCGAGACTGCAGCGCCGCCAGCAACTGAGCAAGCGCTTCCGCTTCCCTCGGCGGTCCAGCCGACTGTCCCGCTCTCGAACGAAGCTCCCCCTTGAGTTCCTCCAAGTCTTTTCGCTGGCCTCAAACTTTCAAGGACATGGAAACAGTACTTGGAAGTTCATGGGTAGGTATTAGTGGGGATAGAAGTAGGGTAACTATAGTTATAACCCATATTATTGAGGGATTTATAACCCTATTTATAACTACCCATGAACCTCCAAGTAGAGATACCTTACACCAGAGTTCAGGTCGAGCAACTTACATGACCGAAGCAAGAAATGTCGCATGTGCTAAACGTCTCAAAAGTCGAAAAGCAAAGCCCTGCCTGTGTCCTCGAGGTTCGCCGTCTCCCACCCCGTCAACATTCCAGCTCCTGCATGTTTAGGGGTTTAGGGTTTAGGGTTTAGGGTTTAGGGCTCCTGCATGACATTCTTCTGCATCTTGCAAGTGCCACCAAACTTTTGGACGTCCATTGTCATCGGGGCGAAGTCCAATAAGCGTCAACTTAACGTCGGTACGACCACCGAAAGAGAGTACAGTGCCTGGGACCCATCCCGTGACCTTCTTGACAACTTCTGGTCTAACATCATAGGTTTTCATAGTGGCATTGGTTCCCACGCCTGTTTGGAACTGGTAGTCGCACTCCAGATCCAAGGAGTCCAGGATGGCAGCAATCTTCTCAGTAGGCGTCTCTTCAATTTCATCCTGTTGAAGGGGCTGATTCTTGATGACGGTGTAGCGGCCCAACATCTTGTGGCCCTGTTTCACCACCCCTGCACCGGGGGCACCTTGAACATGGAACCACAGCTCTGCGCCAGCCAATCTCCTCTTGAATGCACGGGAGTCAAGACCAAGACTTGCAGTCCGGGGGTCCATGGCAACACCAATGAAAGTCATCCTGCCATGATCTTCCGCATCCTGAACCACATCCCCTGACTGGAACTTCACCTTGAACTTAGCTACCTTCTCCGCGCTGGTGTCAACAGCGAGAATTTGACCACCCATTGATCTGTACCTCAAAGTTGGTTGGAGATTCTGCCTGACCCACTCGCGGTCATCATGCTCAATCTCTGCATCGGATCCTGCCTCGAGCTCATCGCGTCTAGTCTCAACCATGTTCGTCCGAGCAATGATTTTCAGGTTCCTCTCCAAGTCCATACCACTGTAAAGACCAGCTCCTTGCGCTCCATCGCGATGAAACCACATCTTCACTGTTCGGTCTTCTGGGTCATACTTTAAACCGATGCAAACACTTCTCGCAGCCTCTGCATCATTTTGATCCACAACGATATCACCATGTTGGAAAGCGGCGACTTTCTCCAAGGCTTCTTTGCGAACGTCAAACTTGGCGTAGTGAGGGTATTTCACGCCACTCTTGTACCCGAAGGTGCACCTGAGGTGCTTAAGTTGCATCTGTCCTTTCTGCACTTCGGCCAGGCTGACTCTATCCTCCGTGGCAACCAGGAGATCACAGTCCCTTTGGAAGGTCACACCAGCGCCCATGACACCCAGGCGATAATTTTTCTGGTACCCTGTCACGAGCCATTCAACTCGCACCCAGCCACAGAGCGATGGAGCTAGCTCAGGTTTTCCCCTGACTTGGTCAGCTGAAGTGCGCCAGGCCACAACACGACCTTCTCCTTCTCCATCCTCAGGGGTGGTGTCTTCAGAATCCTTATTGACAGGATGAGAAACAAGAAAGTGACAAAGAAAGAGAAATGAACACTGACGAACCCAGGGCTTGAATGCCAAGCCGATTAACTAGAATAGATAAAATGTTGCATCTATGAAATCAAGCAAGTCGATGACCAATACTGTGGAAAAATTGGTCCAAGGATCATAGCACCAGGATGGACCCCGTCGCACAGACATGCCCAACATCACTACATCCTCAGTCAAGATTTGACCTTGAAGACGTTCCTGCCGCCATTGCAGGAAGAGTTTCCTCTCACGCATTGGAAGTTCCTGGCCCACATCAGGTCCATAAAGCACCTGGCCGTGACCCCCCGAAACTGTAGTGCGTCGTGCACGAGCTTGTCAAAAAAACGAAACCACCCACAAAGATCCACATGTTTAGAAAGGATACCGAAACATTACTAGCGTGATTGCACATGGCCCAGGGCATGGAGTGCTCCGCATATGTAAAGCATTGACACAGGACCTGTCTTGTGCGAGGAACGATACAGAAGATTAGCAATGCGGGTGATGCCTCATGTTGGTGATGCTACCGTTGCTGCTGCATGTTGTGCCGTATGCTATAACTACAAGGCACATCATCCAACACAACAGAGTTCATCTCTTGACTCTTAATAGACGGCTCTGCCTTTGGTTCAGGTACGTCGAACCAGGCGGCCAGACCCCAGGCCGTTCATTTCTCCCGATGTTCTATGCTAGTTGTGTTTGTGTTCTCGGATGCTCTGGTGAAAGTGTGTCTGTCGCTACGCTGTTGGCCACTGCTATGTGGCTCAAGCCTGCACGAAGGCCACGCGGCCATCGAATGCAGAAAGCAAAGAAGTGTACATCTATCTCGGCAGGGGTTTGGAGGGTTTTAAACCCTCCCTCTTCCCGTTCTGGTTCCCCTAGTCCCGAAACCCGTCTCGGAGGACTCCGGAGGCAGGGCCAGGGTTTGGGGGAAAGGGTGGAAGAATGGCCGGTGGCACAGCAGTCGTGGTGGTCGTTTCTCGCCGCCATCCTTATAGTCCTTCAGCGCTTTTAGCGTCTCCAATGGAAGCCTGAGACTTCTCAGTCGTGTGCCCCTGCAGGGTTCCACGTGAGCACATCTTGCGTCGCGCAGGATTGAGGATGGTGACGGCCCCAACAAAAACACGCTGTCCTGCAGAAGCAGCCAGGCCACAGGACGCAGGCCTTTTACTTGCCGTGACAATGTAAAAGAAAATAGCCAGCAGCTGCACTGGGAGAAACACAAGAAGAGGCAACAGGGCAACGGAAAGGCCCAAGGCAAAATAGAAGCAAGAGTCGCGAGAGCAAAGAAGGGGGCCGTTCTCCCAAGACTGAGGTGGAACTTCAGAGAGCTCAGCCAGTCCATGAAAATCACGATTGAAAAAAGAGCTATCAGCAGCTCATGGCGCAGCAACCTGAACCCTAAACCCTAAACCCTAAAGCCCAGAAGCTCCCACCTCGTACTCAGACTTGCCCTCGAGGATGGCGGTAGAAACGCCCCGATTGCGAAGTTGAACCAGAAAGTCTTTAGCTCCATCGCCAGTGTTGAACCTTTGCATCCTCGTTTCAAAGCTCGCGGCCTCGTTCGGGCTGAGGCCCAGCTCCACTAATTCAGCCTCAGTCAGCTCCATCAGCTGCTCCGGCGAGTAGAAACCTTCACTTACCAGTTTTTCAGTGTAGGCTTCAAAGCCGCACTGAGTGAGATGCACTTCAAGCTGCTTGATCCTCTCTTCTTTCTCTGCGGCCTCCCTGTTCAATCGTTCATCTTCCTCTTCGACCTGCGCTATAGTGAAGACCACGGGAGATGGACTGTCGCTCACATCGTCATGGACCTCGTCGATGGAAGCCACCACGTCTGCAAGTCCAAACCCATTGAGAATCAGCAAGAAGATGCACATGTTCTCAGCCACTGGGAAGTCTGACTTCCAAACTGCCCAGGCAAGGATAGCTACCATGGTCGCACCCCGCACAGATGGCCCAACAAGCAACAGCCTCCACCAACACCCAGCATGCAGTGGAAGCTTGTCATCCATAAAGCGAAGGGCAGCAGGGTGAAGGCTTCCAAACAACAACGACACCACTGCCAGCTCTACATGTAGCAATGCATGCCAAAGCTTGTCTCGCAGCCTGTGCACCAACAAGATGTTGAAAAGAAATGACAGACTGTAGGACGAGATGATGGCTATGACTCCTATGAGCTGGCCAGCAGGAAGATGCATCGGCAAGGGGATCGGGCCAGACTCATAGAGAAACACAATGTTCCCCAACAGCAAAGCCACCTCCGAAGTTGCGTGCAGAGTACCAAGAGTGCCAAAAACTACAAAACGTGCATGGTGACTTAAACATCTCAATTGAGAAGCGGATGTTTAACACAAACACCAAACAGCAGCTGGCCTGGATCGAGATGCGCATGGCTGACAGTGCATCTGGTCCGACGATACGGCGATTTTGATCCTCTGCCAGCTGAGACAGACTTGCATTGCTCGCTGTTACACCAATGGCCGCCACCTCGGCTTTGAAGAACTCATATGTTCCTAGGGTTTATATAGGGATTAGGGTTCCATGTTGGTATCACGAACTTCAGTTTGGTTCGGACTCAGGCCGGCACGAAGCAGTTCCCCAACAGCTTGACAAGCACCATTGCCAAAGACATGCAGATCGATGCCAAGACCGGCACAGGAACCTTCCATCCACGGTAAACACAGAGGATCACCGAGTAGGCTTGCACCAACAACTGTGGAATGTCCTCGAATGTCTGAGACACCAAACCATACTCTTTGATCTCGCGGATAGCAACTTGGATTTCCTGAAGCTGTCTCGGCCGATTTGCGTCTGCTGTCATGATGAGCAAGCTGCACATTACCTCTGGGTTGCTGCAGGCAAGAATACGGAATATGTAGTACTGCAAAGGCGCCATTTTGTTGATTCCTTTGAAGAGCTCTTCACGATTAACTAGAGTGACTCGTCTGATAATGATCATGTTTACCACGAAGGAAACCATCAACAGGGCAGCGCCCAAGTAGCCGAGAATGTGAAGAGGTTTCTTGTCGGAATGGGCATTGGCTTGCGCCGCCCACACATCCGACACAAAGTCATAGATACACAGGACCTCGGAATGCATCTTTCTTCCACTCACTACACTGTCCCCGTTACACTTATCTCATGAGCTCTTGTCATTCATCCTTTGGGCTCTGAGGACTCCACGGTCAGGCCAACCTCCTTGGCCACTTGTACTCGTGAGGGTGCACCCCGGTTTGCATTCAAGGGTGTGTAGCTAATACGCGAAACGTGCCGCATTACGCTCCGTTGCTGCAGGCACTGAGAGCCCTGAGCCCCGGGTTGCGGCACAGTCTGCGGATAAGACGCCCATGTGGGTTGTGGAAAAGGCCTGTCGATTCCCGATTGTGGCGTGACAAATCACACATACAATTCTTGCACTTGGGCTGCCTTCGAAACACAGCTTATGCTGGTTCATATTCGGTTAGTTTCAACATGTACTCCACCAATGATATCATGATAAGCTGCAGCCGCAGGCTACATTTAAGACGCCTCGTTTTGTTTTCGACCGCTGTCGAAAGCACTCGTCCTAAAGATTGCCTCTTCCAATAACGTGCGAATCGATTTGGCTCACTGCAGCAATCGGGGCTTCGGATATGGGCCGAGTCCGGGTCGATTCCAGTAAGGTTTGGGGTGGTGGGGGCAGCTGTTCGGGGGTATATGGGGCATGCGTCCGCGACAGCACTCAATCGGGCATGATTTTTAGACCTAGGCTGTAGCACTTCCAGGACGTTGTTTCACTCCTTCACTCGCGTGTATTGGCACTAACTGGCGCAAGACCTGTGACCTCAGAAATCCCTTCGGCTTTGAATTTTGTAGTGGGGGTTGAAAAACGTAACAATCCTGCCAAACTTGCTGCTCTCCTACCTTGCTACAATGTCTGCAGTTTCACGCCTAGGGTGAAGAGTTTAGAAGGCTTATGTTTCAGTGTTTAGCGATCTCTTCGTGTTCATCCTTTGCTTCTACATATATCCTGATCATACTACAGACCTCGAGCTTAATCCGTGAAACCTGCGACACATGCATCCAGAGCATCAGTAGCTGATGTTAACCAGCTGCATGTGATCTTCTAGGTTACAGCTTCCTGAAAACAGGCTTAACCTTTGTAGAAACAACAAAGCAACAACGTATGAAAAACCGAAATATATGAAACAATCCATCAAATATCTTTCCAGAAAAACCTCACTCATACTGCAATCACCCAATCAGCGACTCGTATTCGCACTCGTACGGTGAGCCGAGAAGCCTTCCTTCGGAGGGGAGGTTTTCCACTCAGCCCAGGCTCCAAATTGCATCCCACCAGCGCGTGGTTTGTCATTTGTTACAGGGTGGGATGGGTGGGTCTAAAACAAATTGGACTGCCTCCTCCAGAGCCTATGAAAAGCTGGAACATAATCGTGAATTTAGAAACAAACCGAGGGAAACACACATTCCGAAATACCAAAAAACCGAAAAAGAACAACACAACGCAACAATGGATGCTGGATTCAGAGAGGACTATACACCCTGCGCAAAGCAAGGTACAACTTGCAACCAAAGAGACTGGGTCTTCACAGGTAAGTTTCTTCCCGACCATGGCACTGCATGCAGGCCGTAAACCGGCCACTCAGTCTTCTCGGCAAGATAACTGGAACATTGCAGATGGGATCAATGACAGACCTTGACTTGGGTTCCAAGCTGTTCTAGCAGCAGTCGACAGATTGATTGATTTATTGAAGGTGCACACGTTTTCGAAAGGATTTTAGCCATGAATATAAGCCCAAATCTGTAAAACTTTCAAACCCTGAACAACCCAGTCAAGGTCTGCACAGACTTTTGCTTGCGCAACAAACGAAGAAATCTGCTGTTCTTGCACTGCACTGCTG